GGACTTGAGGAGGAACAAGGAGATGTGATGCTCGGGCATCGAAGTAGTCTCTGTATATACTTTACACTCTAAGGGATGGAAGTAGGATTGTGCTCTACACTTTCAGAAGAAGGCTTTAAAATGTATCAAAGACTAGGAGGACTTTTCTTGTTGGATTTAAGAAGTTTTTCTTTCTTTGAGCTCTAAGAGCAAGAGTTAAGAATTGCAATAGCAAGAAAATAATGTCCCAAGAGCGGCAGGATTAACAAAGCTTAGTTTCATATAGATTTGTGTTTTGTATCCACTAACCTTGTCCTCATCTCTGCTCTCCAGACGCTCTTGCTCTCTGTCATGTTACTGTTTGATTGGGAAAATGAAGGCAGGTCATGTAGCTAGTTGCAACATTGTGGTAGGCCAGCTGGCTGTTGCTGGTTGGAATGGTTAAGTGCCTTTTCTTGGTATGCTAACCTGGACATCTCTGCATAAGCCATTGTATAGAGGATTTCACCATACTTTATTTTTTGAGATTGCTGCTCTTCTGACAAATTTGACTAGTTGACCAATGCGTTAGAAATGCTAAAGGGCTAGCCACTGAGAACAATCACAGGAGCATCATTTCCTTGAAAATGAAAATATAACAGCACGTTGGGAAGTGTCTTCAGCCGAGAAAGGATCTGTGAGAGAAGGGGGAAATGTCAGTAACTTGCGAGAAAGCTAGGACAGATTATGTAGCTTTGAATCCTTCTTTTACTTTGATCCCCACCAAAGATGTAAAGCCATGAATGTTCTCAGGCCAGTGCTTCACCTAACAATATGTCTGAGCAGAGCAAAGTCCTCTTTCAGCAACCCAAAAAATAATGGGGCATTTGTACAGTCTTGCTGTTGTTTGTACGTTGGAGTCTCTAAAGATGGTCAGAGCTAGGTTATCACCACAGATTCTAGGAGTCTTCATGCTGCTGCCAAGATAATCATTGCTATTTGAAGGTCTGTGTGTCTGTGTCTGAGCGAGCAAGCAAGCGTGTCAGATTGAGGTGGGGCCAACCTTCTTCCAGAATTCCTTTTCTCCCAAAGCTGTTTCAGTGGCACTGCGCTTGCCCAGAATGTCCAGGTTGTACTAGTGTCCTGACATGCACTCTTTGCTGATGGTTTAAGCTAATATATAGGTCTGTAAGGAGAGGAGCAGCTGGGCACACGACGGACGCGTTCCGGTCTGCCAACTCTGCTACGGGAATTATAACCTTGAGCAGAGAGGTAGGGAAGACATCTAGCAGAGGTGATATTGTTGGCCCTCTGCAGCTGGATTTGTTAGATTGAGCCCTAAGTCCAGATGTTGCCTTCGATGGCACATGGCAACCGGGCCAAATGGCAATGATTTTTGTCACCTTGGCATTTTTCTTCAATTGCTTTCCTCTTTGTCTCAAAAAAAAAAAAAAAAAAAAAAAAAAAAAAAAAAAAAAAAAAAAAAGCAAGCCTCTAACCAGCATGATATTGCACAAGACCAAAGTCAACATTTGCAAGGGTGTAGTGTTTCAGACTTGTAAGGCAAGGTTTAAATGACAAGCTATCACTAGCAGATTGGAGCCAGAAAAACTTAATCACCAGCCCCTTTTAGCTCTTATGTATGTTGAATGGCAAGATAAACGGTGCTAATGAGGCCCTGCAAGGGGGCTGCAAAAAGCATGCTGAAGTCTTGCTTATAAAAAGAGGACAAAAGTTAAACTCAGTATCTGCCTGTTGGAAGACAGCAAGTAAAGAGCACTGGCCACCAGCATCTTTTAGCAAACAAAATGGTAGTTAAGTGGGAATATAGAGGTTTTTCCAGTATGTCTGTGACTGACCCATCATCTCAGGAGAACGCCATTGATAAATGTGCCAGTTTTCCTGCACTGAAGTTAGATTTGGTCCAGAAGCTCTGAAAACATTTGAGTCCAGGAGAGCAAGGTAATGTTCTAGGCTAGCCTGCCAGGAACATCACAGCTCTCTGCTCTCCTGATATGCAGAGAGCTCTGTAAAGAGTTCTCATGTATGAGTGTCAGGGCTTGTGAAATAGGGCATCCCTCCACAAATAGATTGTGGGGGAGGGTGTTAACCAACAGAGTTTTGTCAGATCTTTGTAAATTGGACAGTTGGGGTAAAGAGGGTCTGGAACCCCTGGTCCTGAGTGCACGGCTTTAACCCATTTGACTCTTAGTACTTCTGAGAGCATTAGTAGTAAGCCATTCTCTATCTTGGAGCCTTTGAGCAGTTAATGTCACCTATCTGATGCTGCATCTGTGCAGCACAGCAAACAGGCAGATTTTAGACCTGGGGAATGTATTTGGCCAGACAAACTGTCCTAAATGCTGAGAAGCTGCTCTTGCAGCTTTGGGGTAAGGCCTCTCTTTTCTTTCTGTATGTCAGGAGTCAAAATCCCTGGATATAACCAGCTTCCTCTGTCCTTTTTTGCCTGCTTGTGTTAAGGAAGAAGGCTCCTGTGGCGTGAACCTCTCCCTGTACTGCTCAAATCCTGCCCCTTCCAGGGAGGTGTAAGGGTTGGCTCATGTGACTGTCGTTGCTGACGACATGCTCAGAGTGCAGGGAGAGCCCAGCACTGCTGTGGGTTTGTCTTCAGCCGAATGCAAAGGAAGAAAGATGCAGCAAGCACTGCTGTTGAAGAAATAGCAGCTATTTTCCTGTGAGCTGCATAGCCATGAGGTGGACTTGACAAGGCCTTTCTGCAGAGAAAGGAATGTCTAAGTGAGGGTAAGAAAACTGCTTCCAGGGAGAAAGCTGGTATGAATGAAAGGGGAACATGTCTGTCTGTAGATGCACGTTGCAGAAGCCGGGAGGCAGCAAGAAACTGCTGGTTGTGGCTCTGATTGCTCTGTGGCTGCTCTGATTGCTGTATTCTGATAAAAGGATGATTGCAAGGGGTGAACGGCCAGGGTGGGGTATTGAATTTCTCCTGGCTGATGGTGTTGGATAAAAGGCTTGTTCAGAGCCTTTCTTCCTTTTCTCTGAAAAATCCTTTCTTCTTTTTGATTTGCTGTAGCAAGGGACGGCACAGAGGGAGACCTCTCCCAGGTGATGGTACTGTCATCTTGCTATGCTGGGGACAGACGCCTATACCTTTAACAACCCCTGACTTCTTAATGCCAAGGAAGAATCTTTAAAATGGAGCATTAACCTATTTTTGGGAGAAGAGGCAATCAAAATGTTAAAAAAAAAAATCTGTCTTAAAAAATGAACTGTACTTCTCTAACAGGGATGCATTTAACTTGCCATCTCTAGGCATCAAGTACTGACTTTGTATGCATACATTAGAAATCGGGGAATCCTGTAGGATAATTTTGATCATGTCTTGACAAAGCATTTACTGAGGTCATTTTCTTCTCTTATTCCTATCTGGCTATGCTAGGATTCTTGATCTTCAACAAGCTGAAGCAGGAAATATGATATTGATAAATATTTATCTGTCAGCCATTTTATAGTTCAGTATTACTCAAAACATACAGACACCCTCATTATCTTGTGTCTACTGGACTGTCCACTTGCATGGCTGTGAAATGGTCATGCGTTGCTGAAGACTCAAGTTCTGATTTTGTAATATAAAACCCAACCACTTCAAAGGTGCTAGTCTGGGCTGAATGAAATTAGCGAGTGTAAAATGGGACCAATCTCCAAACTGTGGCTGACACGAAATTTCGTGTATTTAATGTATTTCTGAGAGTGCAAATCAAGTCAGACTGTCCTTTCTGTATTTGGCCTCTTAGCAGAGATTCCCTGTGCAGTTGCTGGTTGTGACATTGATGAAATTATATAGGCTGATTTCTGTGGGACTTAAAGCACTGTATAACAGGATGGACCTGATGATGTGATTACCTGCAGCCCTGCCTGTGTTCCTAGGCAGGGCCATGTATTGCCTTTGTGTCGTTGGGGTCTTGTCCGCATTGCTCTGTGGTAGCTCTGAGCCCGAGACAGCTAAAATCTGCTGGCCTGGGCGATTATTTCAGAAGAGTGAGCAAGGAGTGATTCTGATCTCATCTTCTTGCAGTAAATGCTTCTCAAAATAGCCTTTGTTAGCTAGGCTTAACAACACTTTATTGATACTTCCCTTCCCCCTCCCCTCCCCCCCCATTTTGTTCTTATCTCAGGGAGAGACTGTGATAGGTATCCCAAAACAAAACTGAACAGATAGTCAGATAGTGAAAATGTGCCGTCTCCAGCATGGAGATGTGAAATACTGTTATACTTCTGGGAGTGTTGGTCATTCCTTTAGAAACAAAAAGAGCTCTTTTGACTGAGCTGCTTGGTTTTGAAAAAGGTGAGTTTTCAGGAGATAGCAAGTCATCTCTTTCCCAAGGTAAAGTCAGTGTCGTCTTCTGCATCACTAGGCCTAGTAAAAACTCATCATGCGTGCCTACTGAAGCCTCGGAGATATCACCAATATAGTCACCTTGGAACACCTTCAGATTCAAGTAATAACAGTGATGATGTACTGGTGGTTCCTTTATTTGGGGTAGAGAGCAAAACCAAATGTCTGAATGGATGCCAAGTTCTCTTAGTGCCGTTAAAAACGGTCGATAACCCTCCCCATCCCCTCTTATTTACTTAATTTTTTTTAGCTCAACTTTTCCAGATAAGGAACTGCTGTCTCAGTGAGGATGTTAAGTCCAGGGTAATGTGAGAGGTGACCCTGAAATGGGAGTTGGCAGAGGCGAGCAAGCTGGAGAAGACAGTGAGAATGTCCGGTGTTCTGCAGAACGTCCCAGATGGGCGCTCTGTATTGGCCTAACTGTGTGTGTGTGCGCTCAACGCACATACCGCGGCAGAACTGGTGACGCTCTGGAAGTTCAGACCCCAGCTTGCCTCATACTGATATAGTTGTTCTGCCCCAGCCACAGCCTTTACTTCTGCTATTGCCTTGCGGTCAAGGTCTGCAGCTCTGAACTGTAGGTATTGACTTGCTTGAGCTGTCATTGACTGACACCCAAATTGTGTTTTTGGGGGGGGGGGTTGTTTCCTGGAGAGGCTGCAGTGAGGCGCCCATCAGTGAGGGTTTTTACAGGTAAGTGGGTTTGTGGAAGGAGTTACAGGTGCCTCTGGGCTGCGTGCACTGAAGTTAAGGTTACTTTGTGGTACTTGTCAGGTATGCTATGTGACTCATCTTCTTTCCCTGAGGCGGTGGCCTCTTTTAGAGACGGCTATGCAAATCTGTGGCAAATGAGTTTGGGAAGACATCAAAGGTCTGTCTTCCTTTTTTCCTTTTGGATGATGCGGTAGAGAGCTGACTGAATTTCTTCCTTCTTTCCTCCCTGCCAAAAGACAGCTTTGCCATGGTGGTATCTGCAACCTTAAATACACTGAATAAAATGCTAAATATTCTAAAGCCTATTTCATCCTTTTCTATAGGAGTTCTAGTATTTTCTCTTCTCCCCTACCTTTCACTTTTGATAGTATTTTGGCTTTCATCTCCTTCCCCCCATCCCCTTCTGGACAGCTGTAAGCGGTAATCTGTGAGTGGCAGACTTACTCTGCTGCCCGAGTTTGAACCTCCAGCTTCCCTAAACCTGTCACTCTGCATACGCTCTGGGAAGCTCTTTGTGGTAGTGTGTTGGTGGAGAAAAACATATGCAGTGCATGATGTCCAGGTTACTAGGACTGAGCAAGTTGATGCTTGCCCTGTAGAGTACATAGGGTTTAAGTAGTTCTGGTGTGCTCTGGACTGCCAAGTGACTGCTTTGTGATTATTTAAGGCAGGAGTTCCCAACTCTGATTAGAAATGGGCTATTGAGGCCTTCAGTCTCTTACTGCCTTCTCTTAGCTTCTCTGTACTCCACTTCCTTTTGGTTTGCTGACTGGCAAAGAGACAGTGCCTACTTGTAGTTGCTCAAAATGCTCAAAATCTCTGCTCCTCTCTTCCTACCAGCAATACATGTTTTTCAAGCCTTTTTAAAAAAGTCTCCTGAACTGGGATTTCAGGCAGTTGATCTGTGCAGCTCCCTGCTGCTTTATAGCTTGTCGTAAAACTCCATCCTCTGCTCCTCCAGATATGGAGTGCAATGAATGCATCTCCCTTGTGCATTGCACTGCAGCACGCAGAAGACAGAGGCAGGTTGTAGATGCAAAAGAAGGGGCTATCAGTTGTATCCTTTCCTCCTTCCTGTGCATCAGTTGCAACCTTTCTTCCTCCATTTCATAAACGGAGTGGGAGAAGCTTCCTTTTGACAAAGGTGGTACATGACAGATAGTTTGGTAGATGCTGAAGATGCCCACGTAGCTTGGTGGGTAGAAGATAGCTCCAGAATGTGCATTCACAATCATCTGGGCTCAATGTAAAGAATTTACTGTTCTGCCTCCAGTTTTCTTATAACAATGGAAATGGTATTCTTCACTTGAGCTTGGTTTGGGTCGTAACTGTGTTAACGCGTGTGAAGCCTGCTATTCAGAAAAGCTAAAGTCCTACAAATGATGGAATTGTCAAGTGGCAGTTCTGAACAACCCTTTCTAGATTATATATTGTTTGTGATGGGGATTTCCCATTAGCGTGATTTTAGTTTTTAAAAATGCGAAAACAAATAGCAACATAGCAGGTTACACTTGGGAGCTCTCCATTTTTAGGGTTGTAGAGTCCCAAACTCACTAGTTTGGGAATGAAAGTAGCACAAAAGGCTTCTTGAAGGAGTTTCAAAGCTAGTATTGAGTGGGTAAAGTAGTGGCGTTTATATCTTCTAAGGAAACTTTTACATAGCAGATAATAGACTGCAGGATACCTGCCATCTCCACTGAAAGTTTCTTGTAGTAACCTAGGCAATTTTTGCCCTTTCGGCATCTGATAGCTTTGAAAGAATAATATATGGCGTAATTACTGAAGGATTCTGTCGGTATGGACTTGGAACAGAGGCCTCAGTGTTTGCATAAGCAAAGGAATGAAGTTTGGGCTGAATTGCACAGAAAAATTTGTTCCATGTCAAGAAAACTGCTTGATTTCTTTGGATAAGGTTTAAAAGACCTTTTTTTTGGTTTTCCCCAATGTGTTTCAACACCTTCTTCCAGCTGCTTGAAAGGGGCTTTAAGAAACATATTTTTAAAAGAGCAGGGAATAAGTAGTGTTACACTAATGGGTTTTTTAAAGGTTCTTCTCAGATCAAAGGTACAGTTAATATTTTGTTTTCAAAGCAAATGAAAGCAGGAGTAGATTCACAAATATTTTCCAGATGGAAGAAACTTAAATGCATTTTTCCAGTGCAGTTAGAAACCACTCAGATCCTAGACTTCTACCTTGCAAACTGTAAGGGCAGGCTTTGTTCTACTGATATCTGTTCAGCAACATCATCCCAGGGTGATGCCTCCCCTCTGCTGCTGACCCCTCTAATATTGGGCAATTTGCCTCCTTCCTCCTCTGTGTTCTCCTTCCCAGCCCTGACATGTCTAGAGCCTGCATTGCAGGCTCTTGCGGTCCTATCTCCTAGTGTATCATTAGAGCTTTTAGCATAACAAAGCTCTGATGTCAGTCAAGGCCTTGCAGTGATAAAGTTAATCTTTCAGCTGACTACTTTGGCATTCTTTCTTACCTGCTGTTCAATTGGGGATGGGTGCTGCTGAAAGCTTGTCCCCACTATTTGAAAAAATTCCTTGTGCGTTTGCCGGGAAAGCCTCTTAGTCAGCACTGATAGCAGTGGTGAAGGCATTGCTGTTCACCTTCCAGAAGCTCTATTTCTCACGACTGTGCTTGGGAGAACTCCTCCCTTGAGACACCTAAAAGGCCTAGGGCAAGCAGATATAGCAGAGGTGTTGGTGAGAGGCCGTCAGGAGGGGTTGGTCAAAGCATCCATGGTGTTTTAGGTGAACCTGAGGCGTTCCTGTGCAAGAAGGAAGCACATGGCAAATAATAGGACTGCAAGGAAGTAGATGCCCAGCATCAGCTCATCTGGGAATTTGCTGAGCTGAGACAATTTAACCCACTGGATGCAACCCATTTTTTATGATGGGGATCTAGTATTAAGGGATTTATTTTCTTTGCAGTGGATGGTGGAATTGGGGGGAATGACATTTAGGAAACTTTACTTTAAAGCATGGCTTGTGCAATGCAAAGCCTTTATATCTCCTTCAGATGGACTTGGTCAAGCCTTGTCATGCTGTAGATTAATAGTTTTTTTTTTGTAAGCCCTCACTTCACCCTGTCCCACTCTCCCCTGGTCTGCTCTCCTAGCTTCGTGTGACGGGACTGTCCTGTGAACAAAACTTTGGGAACCTCTGCCTTTAAAAACTAAACACCATCTCCCATGGCCTGGGGCAAATTATAGAGAAGGTGGAGTGGTTTGGTGGTAGCCTAGTTTATCTTCAATTTAATGAAGACTGTAAGCCCCTCCATTAATGAGGTAAGGCACATGTCAAGGCCTGCTTTAGCATTGTCTTTTTGCTTTTGGAGCGCTCCTAACTCCCTGCAAGTAACGGCAGGAGGTCTTTAGATGACTTTGCTTTCCGTTGTCTTACTGCTTCCATTTCTAGCACTCAGTTGGTTATTTGAATCTTCAGCTAGATCACCTGGGACTCGCTTCAACTCTGCTAGAGGTTTTAAATATTCAGTTTCTCTTTTCCCTCTCATCTCTTCTTTCCTCAAGTGGCAAAATATAGCCGTGGTGTCTCCTCGGTTTATGAAAAAGTTGAATCTATATGGTATTGTTAGCTTGCTTTGGTTCCTGAAAAGATGTTTCCAGGAACCAGCCCATCTCTATATGAGCTGCTAGAGCTGGGGGAAGGGCAAAGGTGCACTGTGCAGTGAATCCCTGGAAGGCCTGCTTGCTATATTGAGCTCAAGGAACAGTTCAATAGCTGTTTACTTTCAATTAAATCTGTATTGTTCCCCCTAAGTCAGCATTTTAGTGACTTTTTTGAAGCTGTTTTCCCCCCCCCTAAAAAGGGGGAAAACTAAAACCCTTTACCCCCCCCCCCCCCCCCCCCACCCCCCAGGGTTTTCCTCATATAATGGAGGAGGGATGAACGGCACAAGCAAAATGATGGATTTCCTGGAGGAACCTCTTCCTGGTGTGGGGACCTACGAAGATTTTAACACTATAGATTGGGTGCGAGAGAAGTCCAGGGACCGGGACAGGCACAGAGAGGTAATATTTCTTACTACTCTTTTTTGCAGAAGGCAGAATAGTTAGCTTGCTAATTCTGATTACTTTGAAAGCGTGTATGAGAGAAGTACCTAGTATGGAGGGATTGCTCCCAGGATGGGAGCTGAGAACTTCTACATAAAATCCTTAGTTTGCAGAAAAAGAATGCAAAAGGTAATGTGACACAATTGATCAACTGCTGCTTCTGCGCCCAAGGTTTGATTAAAAAGGCTTTGGCAAACTTCTGATGTACATCTTAGATGCCTTAATCACTTGTTTCCCTATGCCATGTTAAACTTGCTGGATTCTGAAGCATAGCAAAACCTTCACTTGTGCTTTTGGAAGATGCTCTGCTTTGTGGATGATGGGAACAAACCCTAAAGATGTCTTGCCTTTGCCTGCCCCCCTCTTCCCGCCCCCCCCCCCCCCCCAAGATGTGCAGGTTTGGTCCAATAAAAAGAAATAAAGGAGATGATTTTACCCTGTTCCCCTCCCATCCTCCCCCAAATGCCCTGATTTAGTAGCAGTTACAGTCATGAACATTGTGCCTGTTGAAAGATGAAATCTGGAGAAAAAGCTAGTTAAAATAATTCATTCAGGCAGAAAGGATTCTTGCTTTTTTATTCCTAATTTAGTGAGTATTTATTGTTTTTTTTTTTTTTTGTCAATGTGCCTTTTTATCTGGGAATAATAAGCACGTACTGGAGTGTTTCCATTGTGAGAGGCAGCATGGGTAATTAAGGCGCACAATAGCTGTTCTTTTGTCCTTTTGTGTGGTTGTCGGGACAAGTGAGACTGACAGGCTTCAAACATTCGTATCAGACAGGCAAACGTGGGCCAGAGGCTCTGAGACGTCCCAAACAGTTCTGAGTCCTGACTTGGAGTGCAATCAGCACAAAGTGATTCTAGGCCTAGTAATTCATCTTGCAGTCGTAGTGGTATTACATCTGCTAACCCTTTCGGGTCCAGCGGAGGATGCCACTATAGGACATGCAGTGCTTGGCAGAATCTCTTCTGGTCAAAGCAATGTCTGGTGTGTATCACAGCTATTGAGGGAGTAGCTGGAGGCTATGAGACGCTTCCTGTCAACCTGCTTTCGCAATTGCTGTGGTATCAACACCCAGGCAGATGGTACTGATAAGTTGCTGGGGCCAAAGTGCTCTGAGGGTTCCTTGAATGTTTACATCTACTCGTGGCATCAAGTGTTATTAGTATTTATTATTAGTTACTAGTCTTTTGGCTAGGAAAAGTGGAAGTATTCTTGATCTACCCTTGTACATGTCCTAATCAAAGCTCCATTTACAATAACAGCTGTAAACGCAATGGCTGTGGTGGTGGGGTTGTTTGTTTGTTTGTTTTTCTTCCAGATTACCAGTAGAAGTAAAGAGTCAACATGGGCCCTGATACACAGTGTGAGTGACGCTTTTTCTGGCTGGTTGTTGATGCTTCTCATAGGATTGTTAGCAGGTGAGAGCAAATCTTAATTTAAAACTAAGTACTGGTTCTGTACTACAGCATCAGGATTGATTCCTAGCACAAATCAGAACAGGATATTTTGCCCCAGAAACATGGGCTGCGTGAGGGGCTCCGCTGATATTTATGGCTCTAGTACAGCTTTGCCATTTAAGGAGGATTATTTTTAAATGTTTTGGGGCCATCTTTGACTAAATACCCAAATACAAAAGTTAGAGAAAGCCGTCCTGGGTACAGTTTTGGATGTGCTGCTGGTACAAAGTTCTGAAATAGAATCCAGCACGACACAGCTGATCAAATGCTGGGTCAGAGGGAGGTGGCGTGCTGTCAGTCGTCTTTGCTGAATGCCCTTCATTGGCACTGGAGAGATTGGTGCCAAGGACAGTTAGCAAGAATTTTTTTTTTTTAACTGTTCATAGGAATAAAAGGTGAGAGGTGTGTCTTGGGAAGCCTTGGGACTTCCTCTTCCTCTTGGAAGCTTCTTCCAGAGGCTGACTGACTGAAACCTTTTAAATGACTTCAGAAGTAAACTTTGGAGCCAGTGCAACAGAAGTAAATCAGTCAACTGCAGATGTTCTTGATAGAAAGCAGCTAAACATTCATCATGAGGGATGAAATTAAATCTTCTGTTAATATTTACATAGAAAAGCTGCTAGCCAGTTTTTCATTAACTGAAAGATTTGCTAAATGTTTAGTGTTGCCTCTGGAGTCTGTACTAGCTCTTGCTCGTATAGCTCAGAAGGCTCCATTCCTAAACTCCATTGCGTTCATTTTGCATTTTAGTAGAGAACGCAGTTGATCACAGCACTTATCTGTGAGGGTTGTGGGAATTCTTAAAACAAAAATATGAATTTACTTTAAATTCCCTCTTTTAAAATCTGAACTCATTTTCTTACTGACTCTCTGGTTCTTTTCACTTGGCACAGTTGTGACTCTTTCCTTTTGTGTGTGGGGGTTTTTTTGTTTTTTGTTTTTAATTGGGGTTTGAAATGTTTCTCAATTCAATGTTATTCCCTGTCACAGTCTCAACGTTGTTAGTTTAACTCTTGGATTAATGTTTTTGTGCTGGAGACAGTAACGTGTTTTGTCTGTATCCCCTTGAAACGTGGTAAATCCCTTTCTGCCTCTCAAACTACTTGCCATGTTGTATCTAATAAGTGGTCTTTCAGTATAATTGAGAAGAACTAATTTCTAGTGACTTAGGGTGGGTTTTAATGCAATTTGCTAGGCTCAGCCTTTGGAATATTATTAGTCATGCATAGTTACTTAACTTTTTTTCAATATATACTTGTGCAAACCTTCCCTTTATCTTTTAGAGAACTAAAAGTAAACTGTAGGCAAAAATAGCACTACTGCTCTGTTTGTTGGTAAGTGAATCAAAAATTATTAGAGCAAACTATAACATTCAGATATATGTCTGCTTAAGATGGTTATTAATTTTTAATCTTTTTTTTTCCCCGCATTCTAATAGGTTCCTTAGCTGGTCTGATAGACATTTCTGCCCACTGGATGACAGATCTGAAAGAAGGAGTGTGTCTGGCAGGCTTCTGGTTTAACCATGAGCACTGCTGTTGGAAATCTAACACAACGTTTACAGACAGAGACAAGTGTCCAGAGTGGAAGAGCTGGTCGCAGCTTATTATTGGCCATGGGGAGGTGATGTGTGCCTACAACTGGTTTTGCTGCTGAACATACTGTTTCCCCTACCCTGCACTGTCCTTTGGTAGTGATCTGTATATATATGTGTGTGTGTGTGTGTATATATATATATATACATATATATATATGTATATATCTATCTCAGAAGTGCAAACTCTAGGTGTTTCAGTGGTTTGACATCTGTTGCTGAGGCCCTCTAAGGGTGTAAATAAGCTCAAACAAGTTCCTTCTGTGTTGTCCTCAGGGGGTAGGCAAAAGCTTGACACATTTAAAAAGTATTGGTTTGCTCACATTTGAGACTTGCTGCTTGGAGGATATTTTGCCCCTGAACGTTTTTTAAGCTAGTTCAGTGTTGCTTTAAGTCTTGTGTTTCTGGCAACTCTATCCAATAGAAAGCCTGCTTGACTGGGACAATATTGGTATACTTTGTTTACCATTTTATATAATGCTGTCTGGAAATATGATTGGTTCATACCCTCTAACCCAACAAACGTAACTTGTCCTTGAAGCCACAATGGCTTGTGATTTCTTTCATTTTTGGCTGATGATCAGATTACCTGCAATTTCTGTGTTGACTGCACTTCCTTCAGTGCACAGGTTTGAGGTGATCTTTGTTGAAGCTATCTATCTAAATTAGGGTCCTTTCTCTGCATTTCAGGGGGCATTTGCATATATTCTCAACTACTTCATGTACGTTATCTGGGCCTTGTTATTCTCCCTTCTTGCTGTGTTACTTGTAAAGGGGTTTGCTCCTTACGCCTGTGGCTCAGGAATCCCAGAGGTGAGTGAGATTGAGCAAAACTGTTTCTTTAACTTGGAGTAGGGATCCACCATCCAAAGATTACTTATGTCTGCTATGGAATAACACTGTCTTGCACTTGAGAGATATGCAGTGTTCTAATATATGCTTTATTTCAAACTTTATAACTGAAACATGTCTAGTATCTTAAAATTCCATGTAATCCCTTTCAAAAACTGGTATTAACCTCCTGCAGTATTAACATTTACTGCAGGAGGTACAAGAGTGCACAATTTGTTTCAGACTTTGCCTACAAAAACTGGTGTCAAGATTATCTTTCAGTAGGGACAGTAACCCCAAAGGAAAGGCTCAAATAGCTGTTTCAGTCTTTGAATGTAGAGCTGTTTTTCCAGCTGTAGGTTGCTTTTGAGTGCCTGAAAGGGGCTCTGAAAGCTGTGGGGGAAAATTGAAGGCGGGAGCACATAATAAAATGGGAGCCCTGACCAGGGCTTGAATGAAAGCCTGTAGAGCTTTATGTGCTTGACTTCCAGATCAAAACTATCTTAAGTGGTTTCATCATTAGAGGCTACCTGGGCAAATGGACGCTGATCATCAAAACTGTCACCTTAGTGTTGGCGGTGTCCTCTGGCCTCAGCCTGGGAAAAGAGGGCCCCCTGGTGCACGTCGCATGCTGCTGTGGGAACATCTTGTGTCATCTCTTCACCAAATACAGGAAAAATGAAGCGAAGCGCAGAGAGGTAAAATGAGACTGATGTCATTGGACTGTTGAGATAGTGGACTGGGAGACCGATGAGTTTGGTGCTTTGCCCTGAGTGTAAATTGTTCCTTGTCTGGCATGTTCTCAATATGCCTCAGTGCAACACTTGGTTGAAAGAGAAGCTGTCTCAGTAGAAGGTGATACCACATCATTTCTCTAGCATAGATAGTTACCTGACTTGTAATGGAAACGTTCATGGGTGCTAACTTGCCCAGTTCTGCAAGGCTTGTTAGCGTTTGCCATATATTTCCATAAATTCTTAGGAGTGTCTGAGGGACTTAGACCTAGCCATATGAACAGACTGAAGAGCTTCGCTCACCAGGACACAGTGCAATCATGATGGACACGGTGTAAGAACGAAGCTAACATCTCAAATGAGCTCATAAGTGTTCCCTTGCAATATTTTAAGACTTTTTTTCCTGAACAAGTCACTGCAGAACAAATACTGTGAGATGCATATAATCACGTTGGCCAAGTTATCTTCTGGCAAACCAGAAATGACAGAATCCACCCTGTGGGCAAGCAGGGTTTTGGAAGGCTTTGCAGTGCCACTGCCTTCTAAGAAATGATACGAACGCGAGAGAAATATGGCAAAAGTCAGTGTGCACTGAGGTGATCCTGCCATTCTTCTACTTTAATGAAGCTTTATCTAAGGTGAAAGCATAGCATGAGATCAGATGAAAAAGAAAAAGATAATTGCAAGCTACGTCAGCTCTCCTAATTAAGGAGGAAGAGGGGCTATTTAAACACTAATATTTTTGTAGCTACTTGTAGATTGCAATAACTTTTCCCAAGAGATCTGTCTCACTCTATCTTTTTCCCTGCTGTCTTTAAAACCGATAGCACTAGCTTACTCTGCACCTGCTGGAGATTTAAAAAAAAAAAAAAAAATTACATATTTAAGTAAAGGAGATCAACGAAAAAGGGGGAAGGTTGGAGGGAGGCCCTAAAACTTCTGACTGAGTTCAGTTTCTCTCTTAGGTTTTATCAGCGGCTGCCGCTGCTGGCGTGTCTGTAGCTTTTGGTGCACCGATTGGAGGAGTGCTCTTTAGCCTGGAAGAGGTAACATCAGCATTTTGCATTAGCTCTTGGCAAGCTGTTTTATTGCCAGAACTGATTCTGCTGGTTTAAAAATATAGCCCACTTGTAACTGCTTGGGTGTAGTAGGCAGATCCGGTAAAATGCTGCTTGATGGATTTACAGGGGTCTGCTACTCATCCTAAAAGCTTACTGGGGCTTCTCATGAATAATGGAGAATTTATTTCAGAGGATGTAAATCTGTAGCTTGGCAACAAATCTGTTTTCCCCTAGTCTGCCTGTGCTCCTCAGTACAGACTGCTCACACCCACAGCCTCTGTTATGTTTTCCATGTCCTCCCTGTCCCTTACAGTTCTGTCCCCAGTATACCTCAAAGCAAGCTTTTATCCAGCTAATTAAGCCCATTTTCTTCCAAAGAAACTTCAAATTCCATTGTTTTGCCCCAGACATGAAATAGGTCACTGCTGCTTGCTTCAGGGATTAACTGAGAGGAGAAGAAATAGGATGGTTTTGCTCAACTGGAGCAATAGTTTGCTCAGCTTGTGGTAGCTGCTATGGCAAGCACTGCTGTTGAGCGCTCCTGCAGCTTTCAGAACATGCCAGACAAACAGTTCTCTGGATGCAGCTCATAGCTAATTTGTAACACCTTGTTTTATCTGAGTAAGACACTTCCACTTCAGGGATCATAGCAGGTATTTGTTGCATTGAAAGTATACAGCCCAGGGCCCATCCTGATCACTGTAATCTGTGAAGAATGGAGCGCAAAATCAAGCCTGAGTACCTGACTGAAGAAGAGGGTGTATAGCCAGTACGCATCAGTCTCAGTCCTTGCTTATACAGTGGTGATTATGTTACTGGGCAGCATTCGATGTAGTGACAAATGATCAAGTGACTGAATCTGCTTTTTCCTTCCTTTTACAGGTCAGTTATTATTTTCCTCTTAAGACACTGTGGCGCTCTTTCTTTGCTGCTCTGGTAGCTGCATTTACTCTGCGCTCCATTAACCCTTTTGGGAACAGCCGGCTGGTTCTCTTCTATGTGGAGTTTCACATGCCATGGCATCTTCTGGAGCTTATACCATTCATCCTTCTGGGAATATTTGGTGGGCTTTGGGGAGCTTTCTTCATTCGCAGCAACATCGCCTGGTGCAGGCGGCGTAAGACAACCAGACTTGGCAGATACCCAGTGCTGGAGGTGTTTGTAGTGACTGCAATCACAGCTGTTCTGGCCTTCCCCAATGAATACACCAGAATGAGCACCAGTGAGCTGATTTCTGAACTATTCAATGACTGTGGGATTTTGGATTCTTCCAAGCTCTGTGAGTATGTGAATGATTTCAACAGCACCAAAGGGGATGACCTGCCAGACCGAGCTGCTGGCCCAGGAGTTTACACAGCCATGTGGCAGCTGGCTTTGGCCCTTATAATGAAAGTCTTCATCACAATCTTCACATTTGGCATGAAGGTGAGAATTACCTATAGAGGCGCTCAGATTCGGGGTTTCTGCGGAGAATGAGAAGAATGGTGGTGGGGCTCTATTTGCTCCATAAATAGGCATGTTTTCCCCCCTAAACTTTACCAAAAGGGGGAAAAGTGTGCTTTGGGGACAACAGAGCATGATTGTTCTGAGGACATGGGAGCCTCCTATCCTGAGTGTGGCTATCAGATGCAGTAACTGAAGCTGGTATGTTGGGCTTCACATCCAATTTTCTGAATACTGAGCACTTCTAAATTGCCTTTCCTCAAGCTTTTTTGATACTCCGCCTGTATATAATAGTTAATTGCAAAGTGGTTTGGGATCTTTCTTTGTAAAGGCTTGCTTATAAGAAAGCCGTTCATTAGTCAGTCATACTTATTCAGCAGCAGCCTCCTGAGCTGTGAATATACTGCCTAGCTCTGAGCTTTGCTTCAGTGGGATAATAGCAAGAGGGGCTAAGCACTACTCTTCTTGACTGGATCTTCCAGTAAAGGCGAGCCCACCCTACAGGTTTGCACCTCCTTGTTGTAGTGATGTGGTCCGAGACGTTCAAGGGCAGTCCTCAAGCACCTGAGAAAGATTATATGATGTATCAAAAATTAATATATGAAAGGAGGGGGAGAAGAAAAGTTTCTCTGAGTTCAAAAATCAGGAGCTTTCTAAGCTTGAAAATGACTGAAGTAAATGCAGTGGTGAAATGTGCTGACAGCGGTGCTGCTGCGTATGACGTGCTGTATATACTGTTTCTAGATGTTGCTACTTTCAAGGTGGAATTTGAATTAAACAGGGAAGAAGGATTGTTCCCCTTACAGTATGTTACACCAGCAGAGCTGGAAAATACTGTGCATACAGTCCACAAGTAGTCGCACGGTTGGAAAGGCAGGGGGAGAACTAGTGGTGTGCAGGTGAGGCTTTGGTATACTTCCATAGTAGAAAAGCTTTTAAAAAAAGTTTGTTCTGTTCTACAATAACCTGGTCTGGTGTGGCTATTTCTCCTGTTCAGAAACAAGTAAATTCAGAATGTTACAGAGACTTTAGAGCATGTGTTGTTTGGACAGTGCCATGCCCAGGGCTTTTCCTTGTCGGTTCACACAAGGTGATATTCTCCCACCACCTTTTCAGTGCAGGAAGGGCAGAAGTGTTGGAGCAAGGCAACCTTATCAATTTTAACTTCAGCATAACACAGTCTAACACAGTCATGTTTTGAACTTTTAACTGTCACTAGTATTTGAACGCTGCCTTCCTGAGAGATGCCATGTTTACTGATGTGTTTTCATAGGTCCCTTCAGGTCTCTTCATCCCCAGCATGGCAGTTGGTGCTATAGCAGGCAGATTGCTAGGAGTAGGAATGGAGCAGCTGGCTTTTTACCACCACGACTGGGTCATCTTCAGTGGCTGGTGCAGCCAAGGGGCTGACTGTATCACTCCTGGCCTGTATGCAATGGTTGGGGCTGCAGCATGTCTAGGTAAGCAAGATGTCTTTTGAAATCCAAGGTGCAAGTTTGGGACTTGGTTGGCTAAATAAAGAACTGTAGAAAAGACTAAAATGCTGCTGCTGTTCTTGCAATCTGGAACAACTGACTTCATCTCAAGAACAGGAGACTTTATAGTAGTATATGCAGTGTGATTCTCATCTTTCTGCCTCCTTTCACTGGCATAAACATCTCCTGAGATGTGATAGATGTGCAGATAGCTGTCTGCTGAATCCACAAGTCAAACAAAAGAAACTGGCCAGGGGCTTTAGATTTTTCCTGTAAGCTTTAAATTCTTTTTTTACTTCTGGCTGTTAATCTTATGATGCACCACTTCTTCTTCTTTTTTTTTTTTTTAAGTGCTTTTTGTTTGGTGGGGTTGTTTTTGTTTGTTTTGTGCATGTGGTAACACTACTCCTGTTTGGCAAAAGTTCCCATTGAGAAATTGAATGCATTTTACTGAACTTTGCTTTCACTGCAATACGCGATCCTCTCCTCCACGGAATAGTGTATTTAACTCTTAAGGTACTACTTTATGGTACTAGGAGAAACTTTTATTTAAGGAGCAGTCAAAGCTTGTGAATCTGTTTAAGAAGGTGTGTGTAAGGCCCTTTTAAGGCATGGCCTTAAGTAAATTGAAGCTAGCTAATTTTCTTTCATGCTAAGTTACAGGATAACCTTTCTAGCAAATTGGTGTTGCTATTATATAGTCTTAAAAAGGAAGTTGTGGACAGACATACCACGTTGTTTGTGAAGCTGTGTAGTTCAAAAGATCTGCTATCAAAGGACGTATGACGCTGGGATGTGTCCCATTACCTAATTGAAATTCATGTGGCCTTTTAAGGATGCTGAGTTCTGAGAAGGACCCATCAAAAACCATGTAGCAAGAGGGCCCCTGAAGCTGGCCCATGACATAATATACTAGAAAGGACAGTTGGTTTTAATACCATGTTCTGTTCATGTTTGGCTTCCATTGCAGTGCTGAATGTGATGCCCATTTTCTAGGTAAGAGTACAACCATTTTTTAATACAAGAGGTTGTCTTGATGGTTTGGCAGAGGACAGCTGTAGGAAATGTCAGTAACAGCTCTGCTAGCTAGAAATCCCTACAAGTGTTAATGTGTTCTATCTTCCTGTGTTCTGTTTGTAGGTGGGGTGACCCGAATGACTGTGTCGCTGGTGGTCATTATGTTTGAGCTCACTGGTGGCCTGGAATACATAGTTCCTCTGATGGCAGCAGCCATGACCAGCAAGTGGGTGGCAGATGCCATTGGGCGGGAAGGCATTTACGATGCTCATATTCGTCTCAATGGCTACCCCTTCTTGGAAGCCAAGGAAGAGTTCTCACACAAGACACTTGCGATGGATGTAATGAGGCCACGGAGGAACGATCCTCCTCTGACTGTCATCACTCAGGACAGCATGACAGTAGAAGATGTTGAGGCCATAATCAATGAAACAACATACAGTGGCTACCCTGTGGTGGTGTCACGGGAGTCCCAAAGGCTTGTTGGATTTGTCCTCAGGAGAGACCTCATCATTTCAATCGGTAAGTTGAAGAGAGGCAAGATGTTGTGTAGTTGAATGGTGCATTTAGAGGCCTTAAATGGCACTGGCTGTAACTTGCTTCACAAATTCAAACACCCCACAGTGATGGTGGATACGCTTACTGAAGCCTGCATCCCCGTTCCCCCAGCAGTGTGGGGTTTGCAAGCATTGAGAGCAAAGGACAGAGCAGCTTGCATGTGCAGTTAGTGCAGCTCTGCTGAATTCATAAACTTTAAGGCACTAATGTGGAGCAAAAGACTTCTTGCCAGCAAGAACTAGGCCTCATTGTCTTTGTGGATGACTAGATGTGGAAAGCTTTCTTAATTGTTAGTGTCTCAGACCTTGTTATATTGCATTCAAGAAAAAAGTCTGGTTGGAAACTAGGTCTTTGTACTGAATATTGGATCACTTCTGAGGTGGTGCTGTCAAACCTGTAAATATAGCTGCTGATGTTTAAGGAGAGCCTTTCCTCTCTCCACACCACTGAAAGCCTGCCCAATGTTTTACTTGTCACTTGTACCCTGCATTGTTTGTTGTGAAGCAGGTGGTATGTGGTACTGGCAGAACTAGATGAAGTTCTGTCATCACTCATATGCAATTTTCATCTGTGATGTGAGTTGAGCTCCTTGGAAACAGCACTTCTGTCCTTGCCATGTCGCAATTTAGAGCGCTTTATAGGTTCCTTTTGCTCTCCTGTTTCCTGGAAACTTGCAACTGCTATTTCCCAGCATCAGAAGCTCGAGTACTGATTCTGGTCATGGTGGCTGTTGCTGGCTTCTGTGGGATGGTATTTCTTTTGCTGATGAATCAGGAAACATCTGCGTGTATTAGGGTTGAGGGGCATTTTAGTTCTTTAGAAGCTGTGCCTGCACTGAAGTGAAGGTTGGGACTGGGTATAGGAGCGCACCTTTGCCTGTTTAGTCCTTACTGATTGTATCCAGTGATGGCTCAAGCATCTACATTGAGCTTTGGAGAGCTAGGCTTACCTTGATGAACGTTTCCTTGTGTAGTCACCAAGCAGGGTTCATGCAAGCCCTGTGGTGAGCTGGACAGGAGAACTGATCCAGTTAAAAACACATTTTTCCTCATTTCTGGGTTAGCTTTCTGCAGATCTGTTCACTCTTCTGGCTCTCCTTGAGGCCACATGAACACTGGTGCAAAGGAGCAAGCGAGAGGAGGATGGCAGTTACCTTGGGGAAAAGGAGATATGTGATTGTTGAACAGCACGATCATGAGGTATTAAACACATGTGAAGTCTGTGGTGTGTTCTCCAGTGCGTGGTGTAATGCACCGTCTCAGTTCAAGCTTGAGAACTTTCTGTGTGGACAATGTGTAATTCTGGTCCTGAGCTACCTTCATCCCATGGCAGAACCAGAGTAGCTTTTGGAGTTGTCTGCAGCTGTGAATCAGCTCTGGCTGTTGCCTTGCTGATTTAAAGTAGATTTTCTGTGTCAGTTTTAGGACATGGGCAATATAGTCTTTGGAGCATGTAAATACTTCTTTTGATAAATATCTAGCTGAATGTTTATGACCATACGGAAGCAAATATAGCTGAAGTGCACTATCATATTATGATTATGTGCATTTCCTTCTGTCGGGCTGCTTTGGGGTATGACCATGATTTCTTGGTTTTGTGGTGTTCTGAATCTCCAGGGATTCCTTGAGAGTAACCTATTTCCTAAGATGAACGCAGGAAGGCATTGTTGTGTGCTACAGAATGTAGGATTTAGCCTTTGATCGCCTGCTGAGGGTATTCAGTGGGGTTTTTCTTTTTTTTTTTTTTTTTTTTTTTTTATATATATAGAGCCAACCACTTCCCATTGAGTCTAGCAATGTAAATACCAAATTAAAGCTGTGATACAGCAGGCCTCCAAATCGTCCATGTAGGAGGAGAGCTGTAATGCACTAGTGTAAATATCTGAGTAGTGGCAAGTGCTTTAGACCATGATGAGCTGTTCTCTATTCTTGACTCTAGTTCATGTGCACAGAGTCTGAGCCAGTAGGTAAAGTGTTTAAAAATACGTCTTTAGCTGCTCTGCAGGGGACCCACATCAGGGGATGGTAAAAGTATAAAGCATATTATCTAATCAGTCTTAAAACTGGCAAGTAAAAGGTCTCTGCAACTTGCATTTATATAGCACTTACCCCACTGCCCTTCATCTGAATGGGAAATGTGTGCAGCGGTGGGAATTTCTGGAGATGAAAAAGTATTTTCTCTAAAAGTTTCCACCTTTTTTGGCCAGAGAAAAATGCTGAGATGTGTGGCAGCCTTGATGTTTAGGCAGAACACTGTAACGTGGTAGGTTGAGCTGCAGTAGATTTTGTCCTTGGGGTGAAATGTTGGAATCCTTGGAGGTAATGATACAATTCTTAGAAGACAAGACAGCAACATTGCACCACTACTTGGGTCATTAGGTACATGCCTTGTGAAACGATGTGGGTGAAATGAAGGAATGAACCTTTGTTAAGGTCATCCCAATGTGGTCAGAGAGAGAGAAGCACGTGCTCTCCTATTTAGAAAAGGAAAGGAGGGATGATATTTAATCAAATATTTCCTTTTTCCAGACAATGCCCGGAAGAAGCAGGATGGGATTGTGAGCACTTCAATTATTTATTTCACTGACCACTCTCCTCCACTGCCTCCGAGCTCCCCGTCCATGCTCAAACTCAGGAGCATCTTGGACCTCAGTCCTTTCACAGTGACAGACCAAACGCCCATGGAAATTGTTGTGGATATATTCCGCAAGCTCGGATTGCGTCAGTGCCTGGTCACTCACAATGGGTAAGAACGCTGCAGGCAGGCGGTGGCTGTGGGATCCCGTAGAATAATGTTGAATTACTTAAATCTGAGTTGGAACCCGCTCTCCTTCAGTTGAGCGAAGGCCTTTGACATGCAGAGCACTGAGTACCAACCAGAGCAACTGTAAATTGGAAGCAAGCAATTATGGAAGCCCTGAGCTGCTTTTGGTTGAGGCAGTAACAGAAACATCATAAGGCTAGTGAAATGGTAACACATGGTGCCCATGTGGTGATGGGTCTGACATCCCTAAAACAGATGGAAAGGGCTCACGACCTCTTCCATCTCAAATGTGGTTGCACATACTGTGTAATTACTTGAATTCACTTTGTCAGTTCAGAAATGGGGGGTGTGTGAGGTAGGGAGGAGTGAGGGCAAAGTAGTAAAACTACTGATAGTGACTTAAATCTGTTCACTGAAGTGTGACACTATAAAATAAATTACTCTGTTACCAGATATCCAGATATGTTAGTGATGCAATTGGACTGGTTGAACTAGTCAGCTTCTGACAGAAAATGGCATTGTTAACCAACACTTCCAAACAGAAGTCTTGTATAATCAGTCCCCTGCATTAGCAAATTTGGCGTGGCTGTTGAGAACAACTTTTTTGAAATTAAAGTTCCTGAGAGTATCAGGACTTAAAATGCAGTCCTAGAAACTAAAGTTTATCTTTCTGGAGAAGGTGAGTGGGTGATAATAAAAACTATTAACACTTGTCTTTTGGCTCTCATGTTCTTACCTGTTTTTCATATGAAATACTGATAGAATATCTGATTGGGGCTGGTGAACACCATACTTCATGCGGAGTATCAGCACTGTGATCCAAAAAAGCACTCTGACTACCGCAGAGCATTACAATTACCGTCGGAGAAAAGCCTTGTGAAATTGCAGATATGCACTCTGAGAGCTGATGCACTAATAATGTGTGTTCATTTTTTAGGAAGCTACTTGGGATCATTACCAAAAAGGACGTATTAAAGCACATTGCACAGCTGGCTAACCAGGACCCAGATTCTATACTCTTCAATTAAAGGCAGACTAATAGGTATTGTGTGTTTGACACAGAAAAAACTTTATAGTAAAGATCCTGGATATTCTTTCCTATTTTTATTGAGACCTTGGAACTGTTTTTGGCATTTCCTTCTATGGAGCTGAAGATTTTTGTTATTTGTTTTTTTTCCTACAGGATAACCAATTGCACTACATAATCTGTGGAAATTAATCTTCTCTTTAGAAGAAAAAAGACTTTATTTACATTGCTTTTGTGAAGTTGCATTGGAAAGATTCCATGAAGGAGTAAAAGCAAAATGCTACAGATTTATATCTCTTTTTATTTTATTTGAATTATTGTAACTAATGTGGGGAAGGAAAGACAAGGACCCAGTTCTGTGTCTTCAGAAGCTTTGAAGGAGAAGGATGATTTTGCATGCAGTGTTCAGGTGGTGGCAGAAAGATACAATTATAACTCAGGGGCAGTATATTCCCGGTTAGCCACTTAGTCCTTCTGCGGTCAAACAGAAGGACAGAGAAAAAAGAAAAAAAAAGAAAACGAAACACCAAATTGTAAGATAGCTCTGTAACTGACCCGATATAAGAGCTCAACTCCTTAGTTATCAGCATCGGCTAGCTGAGGACGTTTTAGTGAAAGAAGGACAACAAACAAACAAATAGCCCGAAGAGCAGATCTGCTCAAAACTGGACTCAGTTTCTGACTGGGAAGAAGCTTATTTTGGTTACTCTTTTGTGAATGTATTTAATTTCACTCTGTGGCTTGCTTGCTAGGAGAATCTAAAGGAGGAGGCAAGAGGAGTTAATGGTTGTGTTCTTGCATTTTTCCTTTCTTAGGAGGACAAAGCCTTAGGAAGATATCTGATTTCTCTTGAGCCTGTAAGTGAAATGGCAAAGGCCGAGTCTGAAGTTATTGCCCTGGCTTTACTGCACTTCCAGCCAATCCCTGATCACATTAGATATTGCACAACTTACCTCTTCCTTAATCAGCAGCATCTTATGTTGTTGAGGATGTCTTAGAGGAGGCTTCTGTACCCAGGATGTTTACATGAATACACATTCTGTTCCCTACTCCTCTCCCTAGTCCTGTACCAAACTCAGGCTCAAATCCTGACTCTAGGATTGAGAACACTGCCACTTTATGTATGTTCACCACTTGGTGTCTCTCCTTTTACCAACAACTATGCAATAAAAATCCTTTCTGACCACTGTCAGCAAAACAGCTTGTCCCTCAGTTGTTCCATTCCAAGTCTGTGCTTTTCAAATCCCCCTCCCAGATTTTATCAAATTATTTTTCTGTTAATGAAAACTGAAATTTTGAAAGTATATAAATGCATTTGGAGGCCAGTGTTATTTATCATGGCTTCCATCTAGAGCAGACTTTATTTCACTGTATGTGACTGAGGATTGTTACTGGAAACAGAGCTTCCATTTGTCTCTGGCTCACCCGTGGGCATTGAGAAGGGAGCCTGGAGCTGACTGTCCACGTGAAGGGAGCCAAGCTCTCATTGAGTGATGGCCAAGAATTAAGGAGTCTGAGAAATGAGTAGGGGCTCTTAATCTGCTTCCTGATGGACAAACCTCTGGCTGGTAAACACATGTTGCACTTTGCACAAGCATGCCTCTCTGGCAGTCTTGACTGAAGAGGCCACAGCGACTGAACTTCCCTTGTCCCTGGCTGAGGTACCCTCAGAATAAGGTTGAGGCATCACTGGCAGAAAGTGATAAGGTGTCAGCCTGAGACTGCTACCCCTACCCATGATACACCTGTTCTGTGGGTAAATGGGACTCCTGCCTAGAGCTGACAGGAAATGTTGCCAATCTTAAAAACTCTTGAGTATAAATAAACTCTTCATCTGTACTTTGAACAGAAGTCAGCTTATTTTTTCAAAGCCATCCAACAACAGGTATCTGTCACCACTGCTTTAATGCTGCAGTGAGGTGATGTCTGCCACTTGAATTATTGTACGGTTGAAAGTGGATTTAGACCAAAAATGTTACTACTGGATCAGATATCTTCTAAGAAAATAAATGCCTTGACTTTGTCTGTGATGTTTTTGTGTGGCAGATCTTGTTCATTTTCTTTCTCTTTCTTTCTCTCTCTCTCTCTCCCCCTCCCTCTCCTCTTACAGTTTCAAAAAAAAAAAAAAAAAAAAAAAAAAAAACGGTGATATGCCCAGAAGATGCTTTGCAACTTGAAATGGTTCACGTTCTGCCTCTGCTCTGGCTGGCAACGGGCTTTTTGGGTGGTTGCGTCAGAAACTTTGCTTTTAAATGCTTATGTTCTTTTCTTAGAGGCTTGTCCCCATAGATGTTCTGAGTATAGGAAAGAAGTGGGGGTTTGGGGGTTTTGTTTGTTTGTTTTGTTTTTAAAACTTCCTTACAGGCTCCCTCTAGAGAACATCTGTGCAGATGCCTGTCTGTCTTATGTGGGATCCTGTTTGCTTTTGGCACACTTGTGACCCTAGAAAGGACAAAGCTTTTATTTTGCACTTTTCTGCTTACCTTACAATATGTAGACAGGCTCTAGCTCGTGAACATAGCCCCCGCTGCTCCCAATGTCTCCTTTAATTAGACCCACACTACATGAGAGCCTAGTTCCTGCTGCCATCATTAGCATGTAACGCTGGAGCTGTTCTCACAGAGGGGAAAAGGAGCCACCATTTCTGGGAAAGCGGTGGTAGTGCACTGCATGCTAGTGTAATAGCAAGAGCTGCTGAAAGGAAAACCCATTAACAAGCTGGACTGTTGCTGTTGGGGGATGCCTTATCTGGGGATGAGCTGCTCTTGTGGAACCTGGCAGAGCAGGGAAAGCAGATGGTCAGAGGAGGTCCACAGAGGCTCCTGTCATGCAGGTTTGGAAAGCATTTGAAGCCTAACCCTTGCAGGTAGTGTCAGGCAAATTGGAGGGGTTGTTGGAGAGGAAAGATTCTTCCTGGAAGGTTCCTGCAGTGAGGAGTTCTCAGGCTTGGGGCAGGAAACACCTGTTTGGCACCCAGACAGTGCATGTGGTGAACCTGCAGGTAGCCCTGAAGCGTCTCTTCACTTCCTGGAAGTTGGCTTTGGAGCTTTGGCTGCTATCTTTGCCAGTGCTGTCCCTTTACAAGCTGTCAGCCAGCCCTGGGAGTGTTGCCTGATGAGCTCGCAAAAAAAAAAAACAACTCGTTCTAGGGTTACTGAAGGGGGTGTTAGTCTGTGGAGTTGGGATAATGAGCCATCGGTGTGCCTATGGTGACTTTTCAGTATGGGTGAATTGTCCTCAAAAGGTTGGCCTGAGAAAATCACGTACAGGAAGGTGCGAGTTGTCAGAAAACACAAACCCTAGATTTGTGGTACAGGTGGATTTTTAGAGAGCCTTGGTCGTCCTAGGTGGAGACAGAATTTTGAGTCCTTGCAGTGCCAAACCAAACACAGTGACGATGGGCAAATAAAAAGGGTTGTAGTGGTGAAAGACTTCTCTTTGCAAGCCTCTGTGAAGGAGAAACCTGCCTCTTGTCTGAAAAGATCTCTGCACTCGTTTGTTTTTAAAATGAAACCTGGTAATTAATATATATATATGTGTGTGTGTGTATATATATGTGTGTGTATATATATATATATTATTTTTAACTCAACCATTTTCTACATTGGACCTGATCAATAAAACCTCTTGGAAAGAGGTTCTTCTGCCCTGGAGTGCTCTAGCTGCTGCAAAGGGGTTTGCCCCATTCAACTCTTGCTTCTGTGTTGCTTTACCTTCAGAGTGGCTCTAGGAGGAGCTGTGGGCTTTCTCTTCAGCAAGCAGCACGTTGTACGTGTCATCTCCAGCAAAAATTCAGGGAGGAAGCTGAAAAGTGGTTCATCCATAACCGTCCATCCATAAACTTGAAAAGTAAAACCAAGCCTGTGAGCTAAGCAAGAAAAGTACTTTGCAGCACGTGGTTAAACCACTAGAGATATGGCTGGCATTGATGCTCTTTTAAACACTTTCTAATCTGTTGCTGAAACCTCCTAACTTTAGGAGTGAAACTGTGTGAGGCGATATCTGTCTATAAATTGTTTTCGGTATCTCTCACCCTAAAAAGGAAGGGAATTCGGGGGAGGATGTTATAATCTTTACAAAATATAGTTATTTAGGACTGTTTCTGGGAGAGGTTCAGATGCCTGTTCTAGCTTTGGCCTTCTTAAGGGTGGGTTGCAATTTGGGGTTGGTTGACTTTGTCTTCCAGGGAGCATATGTGCTAGGAGTTGAACATCACAGAAAAATGCCTGAGGTAGCTAATTATGGAAATACAGGGCCATTGGACTGCTAGGCTCTTAGCTATGCTCGCCTGCTTGGCCTGTGTTCTCCACCTGGCTAAGGAGAAACATTCCATCCTGTAAACTTTACCTTAATGAAATATAATGTAAAACGCATCATGATCCTCCCTCTTTTCACCCTATCTGGTTCCAGACTGGCCTAAGGCAGCAGATAGAGGGTGTTTGTGGGTGGGAGGCAGGGTGGTAGAAGGGGTAGGCTCTTTCTCGGGTCACAAATTTCGTTTGCAGATTTGTCCAGGCTCCTATTGATGGGCAGGAGAAGAGAGGAGCAAGGGGACAGTGGTGACCAGTGTGGCAGGCTTCATCCTATGTCTCCCATACCATTGGGGACAATGCTGCAGGAAGCTGGTAAATAGAACTGTTTATCCTGGTACCTCTGGCTTGTCTTGTTTGGGGTAGTAAAGGGGTAAACCACATGGCTAGTCTTTTCTTTTGTACATGGGATATGTGGGTCTGGATCAATCCAGCTCAGCTGCTGCCTTGCATACAGCCTGCTCTTCCCAAAGGGAGAGCATATTCAGAGTCAGGGAGAGGTACTGGGGCCAGGAGATGTCTTTGCTGGCAGAGAAGCAGGAAAGAAATGTGGGAGTGTTAACAGAGGAGGTCATGCACGTGCTAGTAAAAAAGGAGGAATGATACTTCTGGGATTGGATTCAGTGCTCCAGCAGCCCTGGGACCTGTTCCTAGAAGTCTAAGGTCTGGGCAGTAAAGGGAAATTCAATTTTGGAGAGGAGAGAAATCATCTTCAAAGCGGTACCCCTTCCCTGGCATCTTGGCGGGACCTGGACCTCACAGTACCACAGTGTCCCAGGCTGCAGACCTACAGAAGGCTGCAGACCCTTCATGGCCACACTCCCAGATGCTCCACCCAGTAAACCATTGAGCATTTCACGGAATTTCCCTGAATTTTGTGGAGGATTTCTGCAGCACTTAGCGAGCACAAGCACCGGCACAGTGGTGAGGTCGCTAAGTCCAAGCACTTTCTTGAAAGCCTTTGGTGAAAGCCTTGCGAGCAGCATGGCTCCGGCAGGCCTGGCACAGATGCAATGGATGGAAAGGGTTTCTTGTTCACAGCAGCGTAGGGCTGACTCTGTTCTCTTGCATTGTAAGCACATTAATGTTTTCCTGTACGTAGGGCCAGTTTAATGAGTGTCCTGCTTCCTATGGCTATTTGAATCCTTCTTGCTGAAGGAACTAGATTTACTAATTGTTATTTTTCTGCTCTGAAGATTAACTGATGTTTGGGGAAGAGCCAGCACTGTGCTACCCCCAAGTAAGGCATACAGGGAAGTGAGGTGGGATTGAAGATAGTGGAGGAGCAGTTGCATGATGTGTGAGCTCTCTGAATTCTCACCTCTGTATTTATGTGATAATGGGGTCATAACCTCTAGTACACCAGGGCTTTCTCTTTGTACGCTTTATTTATGCTGTTCCAAGAAATGATTTCCTGGGGTGTTGACGTGTTTTTCAGTGTGGATTTCCTCCTTATCTCTGAGAACTTGTTCTGGGCTTGGAACTCGAAAATAAAACCAGATCTATTGGGAAGGGAATGCCTGTGAACAAAAGAAACCGGAGGTTGAGATGAACTGGTTAATAATAAGTGAAAAGAGCGATTTCAGCCCCAGAATTTATTTTGAGACAAAGGGCAACCAAGTTAGCGTGGTAAACGCCCTCCACTGTCTGGCAAATTTGTCTGATCTGTCTGCCTAGCCACACAATTAATTGAAAGCAAAACCTCAAGACAATGAAGATAAGCTATTGCTTTGGCAGGAACTACAAGGAAAAGAGTATGCACCCGGATCAAATAAACATGGTGAAGCCATGAGAATTAAGTTTAGTCTGAAAATGTTGTTACAAGTGCTCTTGACTGCCCCCACCCCGCTCTTTTTTTAAAGGGGCAGACAAGGGCAGAGAAGTTGGCTGAAATATCCCCTGCTTGAAGGCTGGAGGGGATGACTTGCTAAGGCCTGGCTGGGGAGCAGCAGCAGCTCCATCTGTGGAGGTTTGCAAAGGTGTGAGCGGGCGGATGGGGTATGCTGTTCTGGAGGTGGGTTCAATCGAGGTGCTGATGTTTTTAAGGCATCTGATTCAAGTTGGGGGTGCTTTTTCTGTGACGTTTTGAGCCTGCCATACTTTGGCTCTGGCAGACATCAGGAAAGCCACCCATGAAATGTGTGCGCCCGTGTTAATCCATGCTGCCTTTTTAAAATGAAAGGTAAACTGCTTTTTCACTTCTGGAGAAGTTTTGCAACGGGCCTGCTGGCACTGAGATTTATTGCGATCCTGTTCCCTGAAACCACACATTTCGCATAAGCAGCTCTAACGTGCAGACATACACACAAGCAGACAAACAGACACACACACACACACACACACACACACACACACACACACACAGACACAGACACTTGGCTGTTCCACCTTTGTCCATGACACTGCCTTTACAGCTGCAGGAAGAAATCACTGCGGGGCAAAGTAACACTGCTTAATTGGCAAACAGATGAGTAATGCAACTGATGGTATTATTTTATATGCTGATAGGTGGCAAATGCTCTGTGTGGGTGTGTATATATATATTTATATGTATAAATATACACAGGCACATACGCAGCTTTTTATAGTGTAAAATCAACTATACTGTATGGTTCAAGGTATTTCCCTGCTGCTATCCATGCTGCCAGAAATATACCCTGAGACAGATGGCATGGTTCAGGAAGCCATACTTGCTGACAAAGTTTCTTTGGACTTACCTTGTTTCCTGTCGCAGGAGAGGCCAGTCATGCTCCTTGCAGTTGTGCAGTGTGGCTGTTACGCTCCCCTGGAAAAGCTATGTGAAACTTAGAAGGAGCTACATTAGAGGCAGAAATACCTAGAGATATGTTTGCAGCCAGTGAAAGCTTGATTGCATGGAAAGTTCGTCTAAAATATGGACCATGCACAGGAATTTTTACTTGCTGAGCTGCCTTGGTGGACTAAAAGTGCTGTATCAGGGATGCTGCCAGAAGTTGGTACAAGTTCCACATGCTGCATTGTTGTAGAGTACTCATTTACCTATGGGTCTTGAAGCATTTTACGAAGACTGACAGCACTAGGCATATTTTATAGGTGGGGAAACTGAGGCACAGAGGCTTAATGATTGACTAGATCTCCTGGTGAAGGAATTAGGAGTACTGCTTGCCTGCCCTGTGCTCTGTCTTGGTTGCATCCTAACTGAATCTGCTTTCTGGATCTCTGGCAAATAGAAAAGAAAATAATGAGAGCTAGCAGGTTATGGTTATGACTTCAAGCTCCCTTGGTTAAAGATTCCCCATCCTCTTCATGAATTCAAGGACTGAGGCTTCAGGGTGTTCCACAGTAAGTCCTGAAAAAAAAATCTTTGCATAACTTTGTACAAATAAACTCTCAACTGGGAAAATGGTACAGGCCAAGTTCTTCCTCTGCCAGTTGCTCTTTAAAATGAAAATGCTCAGTTTCTGAGGATGTTGCCCGTATGGCCATTGGGTTGATCTGGCCCAGCCTTCAGGGCTTTTTGTTAAAATCAAACTTACAAAACCCAGGATTTTGCCTTTATACAAGCAAGCAGTGCGGCTGTCCTACCTGGTGCTGGAAACATCAGTGTGACTGGGGGAAGGAAACCAAAGAGTCTGCCTGGGGGGCAGTGGGGGAGGATGTGCAGAAAGCTGGCGGTTATCCTGTGCTCAGCTGCACAGACAATCCAGTTTTGACCCCAATGCGCTTGCTGTTTGTTGTGAAATTTCCAAAGCAGTTCAGGAAACCTAAAACCACCTTCCAATTACAGATGTGCATCTGAATTCCCTGGATTGCTTTGCTTTTCTCAACCTCTCATTTTTGCCTTAACCTTCCTCTAAGGTCAAATGAAAGCTTAGGAATCACGCGGTTGCTTTGTAAGGGGAAGTTTCACTGTAAGGAAGAGATGAGGAGTCGGAATTTGGTGACTGAAGCCAAGGAAGCACCCTGTGCCTTTCCTCCAAGGTTAGCAAACCTGCCAGCATTCAGGATAAATACGCACAAGGCACAAGGCGGAGCTGTAGCAAGTAGGGGTGATGTTGGCTGCAGAGCTTGTCTGGAGCCACGGGGAGGACTGGGCTTGGGAGCCTGGAGCCTGAGTCCAGCTGGCTGGCTTCCTCAAAGAAAGCGCCCTTTGGGGAAACATGCAGTGGCTGCCTGCGTGGACAGAGCAAGGCAGGGGGTTGAGAGGAGAGCCAGAAACTGCCAGGCAAGCAGTCTGTGCTGTTTCATGGGCCACGGAGCCGAGAAATCGGTTGTGGTGCGAGGAGGTGGGTGTAGGCATGCCCCTCTTCCAGAGCCCCCCCTGCAGGCAGCTGGACTCTGACCCTGGAAGCTCCTTCCACCTGCACCCGCATCTGTCCTGGGGGGAGCTCCAGCCCTGCTACTCTGTCCCCTCTTCCCTCTCCACCACCAGCTTCAGTGTTTGCATGGGAATAGGGAAAAGGCACAGCTGAGTGCTCAGAAATCCCTCTCAGCAGTTGATGCCCAAGGCTGGCTGGCTGGGGTTCCCCCACTGCTGCATGCCAGGCCTGCACTCTGTTTTTTTCCCTAGGACTGCTCTCTTTGGTGCTTGCAAGCTTCTACCTTCCCCCCTCCCCTCCCTTTTTTCCCCCCTCTGTTTATCCCTCCAGTGGAGATGTGGCTGGAGCCAGCTATGTTTCCTGTGTTGCTAATGAAGCCAGCTGGGGTCCGCTTGTGTCTGTAGCCCACAACATCCTGAGGCAGCTTCAGGCCGAAATAAAACTTCTCCTTTCTCAAGGCAGAGGATGTTTGTTGCTGCTGGTCTCCTGCTTTACGTGACTGTAATGCTTGAAAGGGACTCTAGAGCATCTTTAAAATGCTTGCTGCTATTCTGAATAGCACTGCCAGCCTCTCCTGGGTGCTAGCTGTTTGGGAGCCAGTAAAGGAATAGAGATGCTCCAGAGCCCCAGGTGTACAAAGGGGCAAAGCAGAGCGGGGGCATCAGGGCTCTGCAAGATACTGATCTCTTCCAACATGGCCATTGAGCTCGCGAGGATGGCGGCAAAGCTCTTCCCCTGCTGCGGGGTCCTGTGAAACCCCCGCGGCTGCCCTGAGACTAGGAGAACCAGAAAACTTGCAGACCTGCAAGAGATGTTGGCACCATACTCCCAGGCCTCAGCCAGGCTACACCCCCACCACTTCAACTGTTTCTTTTCCGGTCTGTTGTGTCTCTCATTGCCCAGTGTTGCTTGGCTCTTGCCAGACTAGTGAGGCTGCTATTTGGCTCTTGCAGTTTCTCTTCTACAGAAACATCCACCCACAAGTTCTCTCCCTTCCAGGAAACTGGAGCAGCCCATCATCCCACTTGGCGCTGGGCCTGACTCTCCCAAATCATGCAACAGGACAGCTTACCGGGGATGCCGGAGGCGCCTGGTTGCTGTGTGGAAAACAGTAATCTCCTACCCCTTGCTCTATGCTGGGGGAACACTTCAAAGCATATTTCAGAGGCTACTCCCTCCCCCCCCCCCTTACTCCTAGGCCCCCTGCTCCATTTTCCACAGTTGCCTGATTCAGCCCTGAGTTCTCCTGGCTGCAGGGTCAGTGGCCCAAGACAGCTCAGCAGCTGAGTACCTAGGAGCCCAGACAAGTCTTGCACGCTCTTGGGGGTAAGGTTTCTCTGCAGTGCTGTTTGTTAAGGTTTTTGAGAGCCCTGGGAGTCCTGTTTTTAGTCACTAAAGCAGTCCAGAAAGCAGGAGCAAGAATGGGAGGTGAAAGAATAAGGGACCCTCTAAAAGGTACCTTTGGAAGGATGGGTTTTCATGTTAGCGGCAGAAACAAGCTGGACTGTGAACACGCAGTGAGGCCTGGCATGTTTGGGTATCTTTGCTAGGCAGTATTGTGTGTAACCCAGCTGTATTGCATGCTTTCGTGTTTTGTTTGTGTTGGGTAAGAGCAAAACACATGACGATCAGGGACAAGCATGTTGCACGGCCTCGCCTCCCTCTACAAGGTCATAGGATTTCAGCCAGGGAACAGGACAGCCTGGGGTGAAGCAAGACTGGAGTCTCTTTGCAGCCCGCAGCTCTGCCTGGAGCATCTGCTTTGCCCCTTTTGCAGAGAGCAGGAAGGGAGCGCAGCAGCTTTCTCCCTCTCCCTACGCTGCTGTAGGCAATGGGCTTGCAAAGAGCTACAATGAGAGGCTGCCTCTTCCTACTCTGGGCCCAGCAGGACAGGGAGATGAAGGCTAATGAATGGCAAAGGCACGTCTCCTGTGTTTGGGGGGAAGATCATGTTCCTGGTACGGGAAGATGTGGGAGTGACCTGGCTCAGCCTGGTACTAGCTCCCAGCCCCAGCAGAGGCTGCAAACTGAGATGGCTCAGGCCCAGAAAGCTGTAGAAGGGAAAGCAGCAGCAAGAAACAGCCTCTGCCCTACTGCGACACGAAGGGCAACCAGGCCATCTCAGTACCCTCTTGTTTGGCCCCCGACAGCTTTTTCTCCACAGGGCTGAGCTGTGCCCAAGCCCTGGCAGCCTTGGGCTGGGCTTGGCAACCCCAAAGCAGAGAAAAGAAAGGAAAGGAAGCGGCACAATCACCGCTGCGGGCCGTTGGGTGAGATGCCGCCCCCCCCCCGCCCCCAATGCCATGGACTCCTGATGGGAGGAGTTTGTTTCTGGCAGGACATGTTGGGGCATTTTCCAGCACCTTGAGGAGGAAGAGCCACTGGGCCAGGGTTCAGGATGGTGAGGCAGGTGGAGACCAAACACCTTGGACAGGTGTTCAGGTTTGCTTGGACAGTGTTCAGGCTCTACACTCAGGGTGTACAGCCAGAGCTGGTGGTAGAGGGGCTGCTGGGACCTAGTCCTAAAGCTCTGGCGACCAGGAAGCGCACCTTCCTGGGAATGCCCTGGGCATTTGTAGGAGTGTGGGGGAGAGGTGGCAACTGCCCCAGCATGGCTCTGGCCCAGGCAGGCTGGTTGAGGAGCTGCTAGAGGCATTAAAGCTGCAAGATGAGACAGGATCTGGTTGTTGCCTGCAGCCTTCATTAGGGCTGGTCTGCAACACTTAAAAGGAGCTCCTGGGAACCTGCACAAGCCTGTTCCTTGAGGCGGCCTTGGTGCTTGGCAGCTCTGGCATGGTACCTGAGCTGCTCTACAGCTGCTGCCAGCATCCCAGCACCACCACTCTGCACCCTTGCTGCTGGATGCACATCAGGGCCAGCACTGAGAGTGGGACTGGAAGGCAGGCCTCTGCTCAACTGGTGCTTTTGCCAAGTGTGGATGTATCGGGGGGGCTGGAGTGGGTCTGCAGGTGCTAGGGGGCAATCTGATCCTCTGCTCTGACCCTTTGCAGTTCTTGCTGCTCGCTGATGGTCTCTGCACTGGGTTATCTACTAGCACAAGCAATAGGGAGACAAGGGGCGGCAGACGGGTAAAGGCTGTTACACAGTGAATGGAGCTGCACAGGGCTCAAGTGCTCTGCAGCATCGTAGCAGAGAGCACCTGAACTGGCCCAGAAATCAAACTGTCAGGCTACTGCTTGTCTGAGACCTGGGACTAGTTGCATGGGGGTGCCCTATGCACAGAGATGCAAGGCCAGCACTGGAGTACAAGGTTTATTTAAACCAGCACTGAGCTCCCCAAAGCCCTGCTGGTGTGAGGGGTACTCATGTTCTTCATGGGAGCCTGTGCTGCCGTCACGTGTCTGTACACATTAACAGTCTTGGTATGATACAGAGAATATACAAGTAATTACAAAAGGGGGGGCTACATCCACCCCAGCATTCATGGACCGAGCCAGCTTAATCATGTTCTGCCCTGCTTGAACCTGCCTGCCGTGTCTGAGGTGTCCCTGCAGTTTGACCAGAGGGTTTGCTCTTCTGTCCTGGGGCTTGGGCTAGCACCACATGTCCCTGGTGTCACTGCTGCAGTGGCACTGGGAATAGAGAGCAGCAGGGGAAATGCAGCTGCCTAGGGAATTGCATGGCCCGAGCTGAAATGCTGCTGGTTAACAAGTGAGAGCCAGAGGGTGGCTGTGCTGGCCTGCTGGCCCCCTGAGGCTCGGAGGAACAAAACCTGGAGAAAAGCGAGGCTTGGTCAGGAGAGACAGGCGCAAAGGGAGGCCTGGTGTGCAGCTCCTTGGCTCAGTGGTCCTGTGCATTTGAGCTGCCCTCTGCCCTGTGGGACAGACCAGCCCACTCACAGCACCCTGGAGTGGGCTCAGCTTAGCACCAGGGCTCTGCAATACCCCTTCCCCACGTGTAGCCTCCCCAGCTGTGACTCCAGCACACGGCACTGTGAGAGTTGCTGCAGGGCTGACTGCTTCCAGGAAATAGAAGCTCGGGGCAGTTTGATGACTTTTCTTCACTTTCAGGGATTTGTATGTGCTACAAAGAAGTGCTTGGGGAGCTGCGGGTGCTGCTGCTTTTGCCAGCCTGCTGATGGCCAGTCCAGGAGCGCTTCGACCTTACAGGTTTCCAGCTTCCCCGAGAGTCCCCTCTTCTGATGAGCTTCCCCACAGCTCGCTGGGGTAACACTGCACCCTCTCATTGGTGTGACTCATCTGTGTTTGCCTGGGGATGGGAAGGAAATGTGGATCCAGGCGCACTACACACCGGCCTCTGTTGGTGCAGGGTCACTGGGAATATCTGTGGCTCATGTGTCACCTTGGTTTCTAACCTGGCTCAGGAAAAAAATGTGTCTGTCACATGCCTAAGTGTGGCCAGCTTTGTTGATCTGCTCTTTGCCCCTCTGAAGCTGACTGCTGATGTCATGCCAGGCTTTACTGAACTGAAACTCCTTCATACCCTTCTGATAGTTTGTGCTCTTGAGTGCTGGATCTCCTGTGTACCTGCACACAGAAAGGGGAGGAAGGCCAGCCCTGTGGCCACACTCACCATGCTGCTGCCCTCTGCTAAAGCTGATTTCTGTCTCGATACCTTCTGCTCTGGGCTCCTTGGCAGCCTGCAGCCTGGTTTGCCATATCTGGCTGTGCCAGCTGTTTATTTGGCCTTGCAGAGGGTTGTCCTGCTGTGGGGAGGCTTTCTATTGCAACTGTGGAATTGTGACCCTTGTGCCTTTACCTTGCTGGGGAAGGGAGATACGTGGGAGCGTGTTGCATGGTTGCAAGGCATCTTAGTGATGTGGCTCTTGCTAGAGGCCTGTCCCGCTCTGTGCTCCCTGAGTAGCCTTACCCAAGTTCTGGCAGGGCCCTTGTCTGCCCTCCAGCTCCCTGGACAGGGCAGGCCACTGCTGGAGCCGGTGTGACAGCTGTTTCATGTTTCCTGCTCCATTTGTTCAGACAGGAGCTGGGGAGGTCAGGTGCTGCCAGAGATGCGAAATCATCCTTAACGCATGTCCCTCTTTGGCTGTCAGAAAGCAGACCCTTGGTTTCCTCCCTTCCACTCTCTGAAGGGCCAGGCTCCCAGTGGCTGTGGGATTCGTCCTCCCTTGCATAGCACTGACCGCACTAGGTCTCTATAGGAAGCCACACTGTGCCCTCCTCTGGCTCTGTCTCTCATCACAAGGGACAATACGGGGAGGGCTATAAACTGCACCACATTCCTCTGGCTTGGCCTCCGGCTGTTGGGCTGCCATCCCATATAAGTGAAGGCAACAGGACTGTGAGGATTGTCTGTGGGCCACACAGGAGAGTCACTATGGAAGGAGCAGGTTTGGTCAGAGGGTGGACATGAGAATGAGGAGGATGTCACAGGTCGAGCCGGAAAGCCCCAAAGTAGCTGGCTGCTGCATCGTTGTAGTCAATGGCCAGGGAGGAGACAGAGACAAAGAGCTCGTCGCCGGCTTTGAGCTCAAACAGTCCCCCCTGGTAGAGAGCATGCAGGCCATAGTTTGCTTCAGGTGCCCAGCACTTGGTGCCCACCCCTTTGAGCAGGAGGATGGGCTGGCTGTAGGAGGTCTTCCAGTTGATGCACTGCACAAGCTGGGGGACGGAGATGCGGGTGCTGGCCCTGTCGCTGGGGTAGCGGAAGTAGATCTGGGAGTAGACGTAGTACTTGCCTGCCTGGTTGACCCGCAGCCGGCCATCCCGGTACGTGATGTTCTGCAGGTGTGAGTGGATAGTGCTGTCTTCCCAGCGCGCTATGGCATGGCGGCAGGACTGAGAGAGGTTTCCGAAACGCTTGGAGCTTCCTGGGGAGAGGCAGAAGGGTCACGGAGGGGAGCAAGCTGCTCCAGACAGTACATATCAGGGTGGGGGCAAGGGAGGGGGTGGCTCTATCTGCCTCTGACAGTAATCTCAGTCCCCAGCCTGGAGGTGTGGAAAAGGTGCTCTTGGAGTAGAGAGGAGGAACATGTCCCTAGTTGTCACCAAATCCTTTCTCCCATGCTGGTCCCCTGCCCTTGGGTGGGATCTTTTCCCTATTCCCATTTCAGAAACCCTCTGGTGCTCAGTTGGGCTCCCAGACTCACCATCCTGGGCCAGGCTCTGTGGGCGGAGGGTTAGATGTGCTGAGGGCTTGCCGGGTGTTTTGGGAGGAGCCTGCCCCTCCGAGGTGTTGAAGTAGCTCCGCTGGGCTTCTGCAAGGAAAGGTACAAATGGCAGTAAAGGCCAGAGTACTTGGGGACCCCCAGCGCTGTGCCAACAGAGCATGTCCTTACTGAATAAGCAGAGAGAGTGGGGCAGGAAAGTGCCCCACTGAACCTTCGAGGAGGATGGTTGCTTGGGGAGGGAAACGCCTAGTCAATGATTTCCTAATATTTCAGTGCTGTCCCACAGACAGACAGGCCCTGATTCCCTAGACTCCAAGCAGACGTACAGGGCTGTCCCTCCAGACTGTGCCTGGGGATGTATGTCCTTCACCTGCCTAGCGGGACAGGCCTTGCTCCCCTCCTGTCCCAGCTTGTGGCCACAGTGCTGTGCCTGGTGGAGTTTGCCCTCGGAGTGACCAAGTCCCCCCCATGCCGCCCTCCCCAACCCAGCCCGCTGGCATCCCTGGGCTGCACGCTGAGCTGTGCATGCACATGCGGCTCCGTCCGTCTGGCTGTGAGAGACTGGCTTTGTCACAGTGACCTGGACCCAGGCGAACAAGTCCTCAGTGCTTTGCAGTTCCAGTCCCTCCAGAGCAGAGTCCCAGTTTGTACGCCCAGATCCCGGCTGGAAGGAACTTACCCTTTACCGTGCTCCTGCGGATAATATTCTCTGTCACCTGAACCATTAGAGGAAAAAAAAAAAAAAAACAGTCCCATGGTTTACAGGTGTAAAGGATGTTCCCTGCTCCCCTGCACCTCTCATCACTCCCTTGTCTTTCATGCTATGTCTCTGGGCTCCAACAGCCCTTTTGATGCACAAATCCACAAAGGACCTGGCATGCAGCTCCTCTCCTCTGACCCCTCTTAAATCAAGCATTGCAATTGCTCTCTGCCATCCTCTGGTGAGGTGGATGAGGAAAACGAGGCAGGCGGGAGCTCTCCTTTTGGGTGCCCTGTTCTCCCCTTTCCCCTCAGCCACCAGATCTAGGCTCACCGTGGTCACGTAGGCTTTGATGGTATGGGCCAGCTTGAGGCAGGACTGGTTGCTGATCAGCTCCTCCAAGTCTGAGCCCTCCTGCTGCTGGTTGATAAGCTGCAAACACCTCAGCTCCTCCGAGCTCCCCTGTGACTGAGCTTTGAGCTGGAATGGAAATACCTGGGTGTCCATACATTAAGTAGAAGAGATGAGGGCAATATGTGCGGCTCAGCTGGAGGGGGCAGTGGGGATCTCTATGCACAGGGCAGTCCCCTTTGGCATGCCTCTTGTAGCTTAAGAGCTCTCATAGCTGTACCACAGAGTGGAAAATACCCCTCTACTTCTGCGATCCCAGAGCTGGCAGTGGGACAGAATGGTGCTGTTGGAATGGAAATGGAGACTGTTATCGGCTCTACTGGGAAGGTGTTAATTGGCAAGAGGCTGGGGTGGAGCCCCAGTGCTGTCCTAGAGCAGCTTTGTGATTTGGACGGTTTAAATCTTATCTCCTCCTCTCACAGTCCCCAAGAGCTGGCAGAAGCAGGTCTTGCTTATCCCAGCTCCTGGGGAAATGTGACAGCCTCTTTCATGGAGTCCTACTGCTGAGTGTGGGCAGGAGGTTAGACACAGTGACTCTTGCAAAGCCACAGAGCACCGAGCAAAGGAGAAGAACCAGAATTTCCCTTTCTTCTATCTCCTTCCTCTCCTTGCTTGGACCTGTTCTGGGGCTGCCTGTAGCTGTACCATGCACAGAGGAATGGCTGCAGCTCGAGGCTGGAAATGCCCAGGAAGCCTGGCCCTGCTCTTGGTGCTTTAATTATCACTGCTGAGCTAAGCTGGAGTTGCAAAATGCGATCTCACAGAGTTCTTCCCTTCCAGCTGCCAAGCCACGCTGGCCAGCATCTGGAGCTCAAGTGCTCGCAGTGCTGCATCAGCTCGGGCAGACCTCGAACCCTTACTAGTCTGCGCTGGCTTGTGGTTCGATGGGAAGCCTTCCTCCACGTGATGTGGCCTGCTGCATAGTGAGTGTCCCTCGGCTGACCTGGCTCAGCCCTGACTCTGGAGCCCCAGTGGGGTATGGCTGGCTCTAGGATCTCAGCACACTGCACTGCTGTCTCAGATATGGGGAAATTGAGGCACAGATGGATAGCTGCCCTGAAATCAGTGCACCCAAGGCTAGGAATAAACACAGGCACCTTGACCAGTCTGCTCTTATCTCCTGGCTCGTTCCCAGATTCCAGGATAGGACCTAGGAGTTTTTGGGCTTGGCCATGTTGTCAGCCCCTGCAGACCAGCTCCCACCAGACTCCTGCTTGCCTGCTTCCCTCAGCTACAGTTGTGGGTTGCTCATTTTGTCTGATGTTTCTTGCACACCATCTACCACCATGGTGCCCTCAGCCAGGTTTGGGATCAACGCAGAGATTCTAGTACTGGTAAAAAAAACTGTGTTAGGTAAGATAAATTGGGGGGTGAGGTGGGTGCCACTGGGCCAGCAATCTGTCCTAGCAACAGCTGGCTGGAAGATGTAGGACCATCACCGCTGGGAGATGGGATGCAGCATTCTACTGAGAGGGGGTGACGTGGTGGCTCACACATCTGGGTACAGTGACTCCCACATCTGCGTGACTGGGAGACGGACAAGGGGTAGCCCTGGGAGTGTTTTGTCTGGGGTGAGTTTAGCTGACTGGGCTGTAGTCGCGCAAAGGTGCACCTGTGTGAGTGGGTGCATGCCGCCAAGGCGTAAATCCCTAAGTTATGGGACCGCTCATGTGAAACTTGGCAACATGTGAGTCTGTTTGGGTAGCTTCAGTGCACACAACTACTCAGCACTGCCAGAAGTGCTAATTGCAGCATGTGCCTGCATAACGTGGGTCAGCCCTTGTCCAACCTGTTAACAGAATCAGGCCTGTCTTGCACTGGATTGTTGTAGCAAGGACTGTATCTCTACACTACCTGGCCTGAAGGGGCAATGGGGCTGGTGCTGTGGTGGGGAGCCGGTGTTTTAGGGCTTGCAGTGTCTAACAGCGGCAGTGTTACAGGTCAGTTGCTGAGCTCCAGAAAAGGTTGGATGATGGGCTGTAGCACCTGGTCTACAGGGTGCCAGGGTTGGGAACTGTTTGACCTTAGTGATGCTGAGAGTAGGTGGGCAAGGTTGGATGCCAGCACGATTATTTGATGTGATTAAGCAGAAGCAAGAACCTAAGAGCACCTGGTATAGAGGGGTTTCCCCACCCAGGCCACTTCCAGAGTCTCATGAAGTGGGTGAGAAGGCCTTAGCTCATGCTGGAGCATGAGTAGAATGAGAATGGTGGAAGCAGCGTGTGCAAAAGAGATGGGTTAGGAGCCAGGAGTAAATGTGGCCTGAAGCCCAGGGCAGGGGGGGGTCTCTCCATCAACATCTGGATCCGCAGCTCTGGATGAAGCCCAGTACAGCATTTCCCCCACATCTGGATCTGCGGTTCTGAATGGAGCCCAGGGTAGGGACTCCATCCCTCCACATCTGGATCTGCAGCTCCAGATGGAGCCTGAGGCAGGGACTCCATCCCCCCC